ACACACACACACACACACACACACACACACACACACACACACACACACACACACACACACACACACACACACACACACACACATTATGGCCAATTAGTTCATCCACTTTACTTATAGTGTGTGTCTTTGGACTGTGGGGGAAATCGGAGCACCTGGAGGAAACCCAGGCGAACACGGGGAGAACATGCAAACTCCACACAGAAATGCCAACTGACCCAGCCGAACCAGTTACCTTTTTGCTGTGAGGCGACAGTGCTAACCACTGAGCCACCGTGACGCCTTATCTCAATTTGTTTTCCTAAAATGATAATTAAAATAAGCATTTTGCAGTCTTTAGCACCTGAATGGATCTCTGTTCCAAAAATCAAACAAGGTTTGTGTCTGTATTTTCATGCACATTAATCAGCGAACACACCTGGGGAGTTTATCACCTCATTTCACCTCCATTCTGGTCTCAGAAGACAAGTACAATCTTGTCAGTGAGATCCTCCTGTCTCCAGCACCCATTACTGCAGCTTTCTCTCATGAACACGATTGTTCATCTTCAGACATAATGGTCTGCTTTTGACAAATATGCCGTTGATAATTGCACACTTGTCCGCTAAGCTTTGGATGTTCTCGTAGCTCACTCCTCTGTGTTTAAAGAGAGCGCTGGGTTTATGCAGCACAAGCCCAACCTTTGCCTCCCATTGGTTTGTCTCCAGTTTTTGCTCCCTCTGGCTTTGAAGAGCCGATGGGATGGGGTGTAAATCAGCCCGTGGGAGAGGGGGAGATCTGCCAGCTGCATGGAGGAATGAGATTGAGGGGCGGAGAGCTCTGGTAGAGACCACTGGGTCTTCTCTGAAAGTAAAGGGAGAGGTAAAAGTAATTAAATTGGGCAAGCATCATTAGTGTTGTTCATTAATATCAACAGACATGATGCAAATGTGTGTCTGGCAGAGAACAAGAAGATTTCTACATTGTATGAAGAAAATGGGAGTGGTGTTTGACACCGACTCAAGTCTGTGTCATGCTTTAGGACTAGTTGAAACAAAAGTAGTTGAGTCCAAAAGCTTCTCAACTTGCACTTTGGTTGAGTCTTGATTTCAGCACTACAAAATTACCTGGGTGCAAAACTTACCATTGCTGTTCTAGGGTGTTGTAGGGATAAAAATGTATATGTAGATGCCAAACTTGACAGTCCAGACATGTCAACGTGTCTTCCATTTTGGAGCAATCAGTGGGTCATAACTCACATTGCATTGCAATGTTGTTATTTATAAAACCACAGAGATTTAAATCCACAAAGAAGTTATGTAACCTTTCACAGATGCAAATGTGTTAGTTTGGGTTTTAGACAAGTTTTTTAGGGTGATATGTTTATGTTGGTTAAGCAAACCAACTGTTTGTTTTATCCAGATATCAGTCTTACAGTCATATTGAGCTTGGGTATACTTGGCTCTTCTGTCTATAGCAGATAACTTTATATGCAGCAAAGGCCTATAGAAATAGCCAATGTTGCTCTCTGGCTCAAGACAAAGGGCTCTATTTTAACAATTTAGGTGCAAAGTCTAAAGTGCATGGTGCAAAAGCATTAAGGGCATGTCTGAATACACTTTTGCTATTTTTAGAATGGAAAAATACACTTTGCATTCTGGCGCATGATGGTTTGTGCTTATTCACTTAATGAGTATGGGTTTGTTTTGAGCAAAACATGCGTTAAACAAATCAGAGTCTAATCTCCCATTCCCCTTAAAAGTCAGTTGTGTCGCATTTGCTATTTACATGGCAGACTTTGCAAGTGGAAAAACTGAATGTGTTATTAGCAAGAAAACAGTTAAACAGACCTTCTGCACCGCGAGAATAAAGAATGAGCCTCCTCCATTTGGCTTTTTTACTGTCTTTTTACTTTCATGGATAAGGAAAGTGTTGTACACATTCCACTAGGCATACACTAGCCTGCATATTTCATTTTGTTTGTTAATCGCAAAGATTTGTTTCAAAACTACTTTTGAATTCAGTTCTAATTTCCAGCAAATGAAAAAAACAGAACAATAATAACAAAGTATGGTCAAAAACTGAGTTATATCCAAACACACGTCCTGTTATAAGCCCCTTTTGGTGATGAATACATCTCCAAAACCTGACAGGTGGACAAATCTAAACTTGTTTTTATTAAAACAAATATAAATATGCATATAATAAATAATACTGCTAATAACAATAACATTATACTAATGCAAATTGTCATGAATAAACAAAAAAAAGCCCCTTTTTTCATATGTTAAGATATTTGTGTATCGCTGTCCTGTGTGTATTAAGCAATGTGACCGTGTTTTGGTACTCCATAGATGCATAACTTACTTGCCCTGTGCTGAACTTTAGACCAGCTTTCAGTTGGTTTGTGGTGAGGATATTTCAGATCCTCAAAATAGCAATGGGCCAACAATGCACCTTAACGCACCACTTTTGAGATTGGAACAATCATGAGTCCACAAAGTGGCACAAATAGATTTGCTATTTAAACAGCGTGGCGCAATATGTGAAAAATAGGGTTTCACTGGTCTGAAAATAGCAACAAATCGCGCCAAACACATCTTGCACATTATTGTACCAGGTGTATGATATGGCCCAAAAATAGTATACTTCAAAGTTCAAAGTATACTTGACTTTGTATGTGTAAGCTACCTTATGCAACCATACTTCATAAAGCACATTACGTATGCACAGAGCCCAATTTTTTTTTAACATGTACAGATGTACATTCTTTTCCCATATGCATTTTTGTACTTTTCCACAAGATGTCAACCTTGAAGATGACTATTGTTTCACAGTTAATAAGAAAAACAGTAAACTACTGATAATGGTAAAAACATTTGACAACAACATGGGTGCATGCATGTCTAAGGGGATTATAAACATTTTTACCAAGTATGAAGTCATTTTATGTGTAGACGTGTTAGTCGTAGCTTTATGCTCGAATGAAGTATAAAGGTCCCCTGAGGTGCTTTTCAATGTGTTGATATAATTTTAAATTAAACAGTAAGACAAGGTGGGGCCTGTCAAGCAGCTCCTTCCCTTTTTTTTAAATAGCCAATGTAGTTTTGTTCATCAGGGCTCAGCCACGTTTGACAACTTAAGACAGTATAATAATGATGTTGAGTCTCTCTAACCATTTCCCCTTCTAATCTCCTCCATTGTGCTTTAGAATACTACATTCTATATCAAATCCAAAAGTGTCTGATATGCTTTGTGGTCCACAAATGATCCACTGTTTCTCTGCAGCAGAGCAGACTGTGTGTGTGCACGCTGCAGTGGTTTGTGTTTGTATAACTTCTTGAAACTTCTTTCACCCTTGTAATCTAAATCCTTTATCAGCTGTTTAGAGCACTTTGTGCCATTTACTATAAAAAAAGAACAGAAATGTGTAAGTGGTGTAAAGTGGTAAAATATTAATGTTGATTTCATGGAAACTTAAAAAAGGCTGCACGTTTGAATATATAAAAATAGGTGTAGTTATGACTTCTGTGTTTTTTTCAGTATCTTTTGCTTTTTTTTATTGTCCAATTGCCACAAATTGTATCTCTGATCACTTTACAAGGAATAGCAAAACAATAATAGTTTGAGATATCACAAGTGCTGTGTTTGTTAGGGTACAAATTCTTATTGTTAGGCTTTTTCGAAGGATTAGTAACAGTTTTAAGGTATTAAACAGTTTTGAAGAGAAAATCTTGGTAAAAAGTAGTTTGGACTTAATAAGGGTTAGTCTATGAGTTATTATAAATTTGTTTTAGTGTCGCACGGACAATGTTTGCAAAGCAGACACAGATGGGGTTTAACCTGTGCAGAGCACAGATCCAAATCCTCTAATGGATTGTTAGTCTGCATTATTTAGGGCAACCAGAGACGGAAACACTTTCCAAAAGATATTAAAATTTGAAAGTCATCTGTGCTTATGTTAGTCTGCTTTTCATTATTCCTGAGGTTTCCATAATCCTGGATCAGGCCGTATCCTGAGCAAATGCTGTGGCAGTCATGGAGGAATGGAGAGCATGAAAGAGATTCCTAAAAGAACTGGTGACAGACGAGTTTTCGCAATGATACCGTGGGCCAACCAGAACACCCGCTGCTGACCTACTCACACCTGCAGCTTCTCCCCATTGGACGTCCAGGGCTATTCAGCCACCAGCACCTGGACAGCAGCTCTGCACAGGAGATTCGGCCAGAGGAGAAATGGTTGTGCTTAACTTAGCCTGGTTTCTCTCGAGTTTTTTTTTTTTTTTTTCGTCAATTGAAGTTTATTCCTCAACACTGTCATCACTGGCTTACTTGGTTTGGGACTTGTGGAGCTGCATAACATTGGATTGCTCTTCAGTGGGCTTTCAGCAGTGAAAGTTGAACTGAACTTAACTGAATGGCAACTTTGAAAACTGGACTGACACAGTTTCAATTTAATGGAATGTCTATGTTAAGCTGCTTTGACACAATCTACATTGTAAAAGTGCTATAGAAATAAAGATGAATTTATTTGAATGAGAAATCTCATATCATGACCAATGTTGTATTTATTATTATTATTATTAGCTACACAAACTATATATATATTATGTCTTATTTTACGAAACAGACTTAGCACTACATGAATGTCTAACTAAAAGAAGCTTGGCTGCAGTGAGGCTGAAACACTTGTTCAGAACAGTAGATTCACTGTAGTTCTGTGCTGTGAGCTGCTTTCAATTATGATTAGCATGTAGCTTGGCAAACTACAAAAGTTGAAAAAAACTGAAGCTAAAAACTGAAGCAAACGCTCCCAGTTGAGTCCGAGAGACTCTCAAAGCCTCTTTCATTCTTTCTGTTCTGCCATGTTTTATTCAGTGTGGAAAATTTTAGTTAATTGGTCCAGAGTTGGCTTTTCATGCCTGTTTCCTTCACAACCGGGGAAAGACCCCGTTCTCCCTCCCTTTTTCCCTTTCACAAACCCTGCCCATTTAAGGCTGTACCTCTATTTTTTCCCCTCTTTCCTCGCTCTCCTTCTCTGCCTCTGTTTCCATGTCTTTCAGTTTTGTAAGTGCGCGCGCGCGTGCGTGTGTGCGTGAGGACAGTGTGACAGTTTTCCTGCTGCTCGTACTGAACGGCTGAAAGAGTGAACACGCCGCTGCTTGTAATGTAAACTGAAGCCACGCAAACGCGGGTTCTGCTGAGCGCTCGGTCATTGGACAGCCGTGTGAAGACTCTTCTGTGTTTGGGCCGTTTAATGTGTTGATGCCGTCAGCCCTGGACTTAACTTCTCTAGAAGGCGAATGGAGATCGGGATGCTGTTGTAGGGGGACATTGATTTCCAACTGGTGAGTTTTTCAACTTTAGTAAACCAAACAGATGCTGTTCTCTCAGTTATGCTGTGCTGAGGGATATTGATTTGTAATAGATGTGTTAAGACGAATTAAAAATTAGATTTAAAATGAGGTAACCTGAATTTTTTAGTTGAATTACATGTATTTTTACTGTTCTTGTTTTACGTACACTTCAGAAAACTTTCTTTTTAGTAAAGATCTGTAAACATTATTTAAAATGAAACTTTGTTTATAAGTAAAATAGTTAAGTGATTATCGTATTCTTTATTAAATGATATCTTACAGATATGTATAAAGATAGAAATAATAATAATAATAATAGTATTTCCCAGAGATGTGCGGCTGGAAGGGCATCAGCTGCTTAAAAACTTGCTGGATAGGTTGGCGGTTCATTCCGCTGTGGCGACCCCAGATTAATAAAGGGGCTAAGTCGAAAAGAAAATGGATGAATAATAATAATAATAATAATAAATAATTAATTATTATATTCCCAGTGAAGGGTTGCAGCTGGAAGGGCTTCTGTTGCGTAAACCATATGATGGATAAGTTGGCGGTTCATTCCGCTGTGGCAACCACAGATTACTAAAGGGACTATGCTGAAAAGAAAATGAATTATTATTATTATTAATATAGCAAAAAAACATTTTTAATATTTGTTATACATATTATATATTTCTAACACATTTATTGTAACTAATTTAAATAGTAATTTTATTTATATACTTTATTTATAACTTGAATTTGCATAAAAATAGGGGGGAAAAAACAACCATGAGAAAAAATGTAAACTTTTTTACAGTGTATTTTTACTTAAATTTCACATGAATGTGACGCTGACTTGCAAACACAAAGGTCTGGCACGTGTCATATATTGCTATGAATGTGTTGACTCATGCTCATGAATCATGTTCTGCAAGGTTATGATTTATGAATCAAGCAGTCAGACGTGCCATCTGTGCAGCTGGAAGTTATTCCACATCATTTAGCACCGCATCCAGCCCATGTTTGTGTGTCTGTGGATGTTTGCGTGCATGAGTTTGATGCTGGACAGAGCAACCTTTAATGTAACTGAGATGCATTGAGAAGTTTTTTCTACAAACTAGAGCAAGAGCTGCAGCTGTGAATCGGGTAATGTTTTATCATTATCAAAATAAACGCCCAGGCTCATTGTGTGCTTATCTGAGGGAAGTTCACTAATAATGTAACGTGAGCAGGCAGTCTAGGTGAGGGCTTCATGCGTGGCTGACGTGTTTTGTCAACAAAAAGGGGTTTCCTGCTCAAGAGCCAGATGAGGGGTTAAAAGCCCCTTGGGTTTTCATGCCACACCTTTTGAGTTACACCACTGGACAAACTGTACATTACAATTTTTAAAAAATATTTTAACCCCTTATTTCTCAACTCACTTTTTGAGTTCATACTTGAAAATGATATATGATATATAGTTTGTCAAGATAAGTCCAGGTTTAGACAAATTCAAAATATATACTTAAAAAACATCCCAAGGGCTTAACAGAAGCTTATTCTGTTTATCAATGCTGCGTTTATTTAGTTGAAAATATTATTCATTCATTTTCCTTTGGATTAGTCTCTTTTAGTGGGGTCGCCACAGTGGAAGCTATTCCAGCTTATGTTTTACACAGCGGATGCCCTTCCAGCCCCAACCCAGTACTGGAAAATTGAAGTATTATTTCAATTTAAAATAAGTGTTTTTCTAATTAAATCTACTTTAAAATTGTATTTATTTCTGTAATTCAAATCTAAATTTTTAGCATCATCACTCCATCTAAAATCATTCTAATTGGCTAATACACTGTTGCATTATGATAATTTATTATTGGTACTCAGTTAATACTACTACTACTACTACTACTACTACTACTACTACGACTACTAATAATTATAATAATAATTAGTTCTTAGAATTATCAACACTGAAAGAATGTGTTGTGGAATTTGTGATAAATTAGATTTTTTTGGATTCTTTGAAGAAAAGAATGTTGAAGTGTTGGAATATTTAGTAAATTTCATGCGTGTTTAATAAAAATGGTCAGGAGAGGTTTTTCTTGAAGGTTTTACATATATGCAATTCATTGGATACAAATGAATAATTCGAATGACAGAATTCTGTTATCCTCAATGCAGTGCAAAAGCTATATTCAGGAGGTGCGCAACAAGTTACATTTCCTCACTGCAACATATAGGCAGCTGATATCAACAGGTGGAGTTTATTGAAATTCGTAAATGTGTCAATCATTCTCCAGTTCTCCATTGGCCGCACCCATACATACGTTCTCTTTGCTCTCTGCACAATATTAAAAGTCTTAATCAACTGCACATATTCTGTGTTTATATATATATATATATATATATATATATATATATATATATATATATATATATATATATATATATATATATATACATACAGTGCTCAGCATAAATGAAAACACCCCTTTACAAATTTCTCTTTTAAATTAAAATTTTCAGCAGGATGCTTTACAATATTATATTTGTGCGTATACAGTAGGTCACAATTCAAAAGGACCATTACTGCCACATGTGTCTTAAACATGTCTTGTCCTGTGTTGTTGCCATTACAATCTGTTTTATTTATTTGTTTGCATATTTTTAGATTTTTTTCATTTCTCACGGTGTTGCAGTGAGTAGCACAATCGCCTCGCAGCAAGAAAGTTGATGGTTGAAGCCTCAGCTGGGTCAGTTGGCATTTCTGTGTGGAGTTTGCATGGTCTCCTCGTGATTGCATCGGTTTCCTCCGGGTGCTCCAGTTTTCCCCCACAGTCCAAAGACATGCACTATAGGTGAATTGGGTTAGCTAAATTTTCCTTAGTGTATGTGTGTGAATGAGAGTGTATGGATGTTTCCCAGTGATGGGTTGCAGCTGGAAGGGCATCCGCTGCGTAAAATGTAGGCTGGATAAGTTGGCGGTTCATTCCGCTGTGGTGAACCCTGATTAATAAAGGGACCAAAGACTGATTTAGCCTATATTTCTGCGTCAAGTACACGTGTATGCTACGGTGCAGCCTACGCATCAACGCATAGCCCTACGCCGTGGCCATCACCTCTCAAAAAATGTTACTACACGTCGCAACGATGCATAGCGCAAGCTCTGTGATTGGTTGGCTTGGTAGCAATGACGAGTCTTGGTGAGACCGATCGCTGCGCGAGCCTGATGGAGCGATGTTTAGTCCCGTGAAGGAGCTCCGGATGGAAAGTTTTGTTTTGTGTTTCCCTTATGGTTAAAGTTGTTGCACGTCCACCGGTTCCTGCCTCAGAATGAGCGAGTTGGAGCCACTTGTACATTCAGAAAAAGTTTAGAAAAAAAAACACCAGCGAAGAAACTCGACTCGAGGAACATTAACACCTCACTGCCAACTAGTGTTTCGGAAGTGTTAATGCAGACCAACAAGTGAGCAGAAGTATAAATGCACAGCTCCGCGCGTTGCATGCACCGTGGGTTACGCCAGTCACTTGACGCAAGGCTTAAGCCAATAAGAAAATGAATGAATTAACACATTACATCACATACAGTACCTTTAAGGTACATGTACAGCACTGTCCTATCTAGTATTGTGAAAAGGAAAATTGTGTGTTGATGTTTTAGCTGACGAAGTCTAATGTTAAAGCACCACCCAGCGGTCAAAAGTTGTAGGAGCATTTACTGCTGCCGCCACGACTGCGAGCACGGCGGCAGAGGGAACATATTGTAGTGTTAACATCTGTACATTAGAGTAGTCAGTAATGAAGCCAAATCTGAAGCTGATCTAAGAAAACAACCTATGATAACGATCCAAAAAATGAGAAGCCCAAGTTTCTATGTTAGGGAAAAATACAATTAAATTTTTAAAAAGAGGAAAAATCAGGAGAAACTCAAAAAATGATCAAACTTTGTTGAAATGTTGTAGTTTGTAATTTTCTTATTTGCAATATTTCGCATTAATTTAAATGTTATGTTTCTATTTCTAAAGATGTTTTTTGTGCTAGGTAGTGGCGCAGTAGGTAGTGCTGTCGCCTCACAGCAAGAAGGTCACTGGGTTGCTGGTTCGCACCTCGGCTCAGTTGGCATTTCTGTGTGGAGTTTGCATGTTCTCCCTGCCTTCGGGTGGGTTTCCTCCGGGTGCTCCGGTTTCCCCTACAGTCTAAAGACATGCAGTACAGGTGAATTGGGTAGGCTAAAATTGTCTGTAGTGTATGAGTGTGTGTGTGAATGTGTGTGGATGTTTCCCAGAGATGGGTTGTGGCTGGAAGGGCATCTGCTGCGTAAAAACTTCCTGGATAAGTTGGCGGTTCATTCCGCTGTGGTGACCCCGGATTAATAAAGGGACTAAGCCGTCAAGAAAATGAATGAATGAATGAACATGTTTTGTGACTAAAATATTATTTTAATAAATATATGTTTAATAAATCAATAGTTTTGTTCAAATACACAGAAATACATTGCCTATATTCACTGACAAATGGATAATAAAACACATTTTAATGTAACTATTTTTAATGGTACATTTACGCTATCACAGTTTCCCCAAAAATATGAAGCATTCCAACAATTTTCAGCTCTGATAATAATAATAATGATAATAATAATAATGATAATAATAATAATAATAATAATAATAAATGTTTTTAGTAATCGCCCCTGCATTAGATTTTGGTTGAGAAATGTTATAACATGTTTGGTTCTTGAAAAGCTCACATATAAGGAAAAATTCCCTTGAATATTGTGATATCTTGGAGGTGTGTTTTTGAACTTTGTAAAAAATTAAGATGTTGAAGAAGCTTTGGAAGTCTGAAGTTGTGGAATGTGAATTGATGCTTGATTAGATTTATTTTTTTATTTTAATTAACTAATTAATTAATTTATTATTTATTATTATTATTATTATCATTGTTTTTATTGTTGTTGTTGTTTCTTTTTTAATAAGGATTATTATTTAATTTTTATTTTTCCCTAAACCTGCCTGTGGTAAGTTTTGGGT